ATATATATATATATATATATATATATATATATATATATATATATATATATATATCCAATACTTGTATATATATTTTATGTTGAAAATTTAAATATTAATATTTTAAAACTAGAATAATAAAAATGTCTAGGATGTCTAGGATGGTACTTTTACGTGTTTTGTTTTTTATTTTTCTCCAACTTCCTTATTTGTTTTTCTTTCTTTTTCTACGAAGCTATTAAATAACAGTGACGTCGATAGCTTCACAGGAAATTTTCCTGAATCAACGTGGAGCAGTGTTGGACATTAACCAATGAAAATTTTCTTGACCGAAATAATCTGCAAATCAGTAAACAAAATTAATCAATGTATAAAATCATCAATAATTTCATGGATTGATGAAACCAATTATTAATTAATTATTAATTTTGACATAACTGATTATACACCGATTAATAATTAATTTCCTCAATCGACTAAATTATTGGTGATTACATATATAACGATTAATTTTTATTATTGATTCACCGATTACTTTAGCCAGAAAAAATTTTCATCGATTAATGCCTGACACTGACGCGGAATCTCTGTGTGGTCCCGAATCTCGGCGAATCATTCGTTGCTGATAACTGATATTACCCAAGCAAAAATTGAATCTAATGTTTGTCTAGTAATGACACAGAAAAGTTGGGTCTTATATTGCTACTAGCTAGGAATATAACGCTCACTTCGCCTAGCTGTACTAGAAAAATTATCTAGTAGCTAAATACAAGAAAATAACTTGTAACTATCAGTGGTACAGTTACTAGACAGTTCTGATGTCCAAGTTCTATTCAGGATTTACCGATGATTTTCTATCCCGTTACTGTGTAATTTTTTTCATCTAGCCACTATCTATGTAATTGGTATAGTTATTAGACAGTCCTGACATTCAAAAGACTGAGTAGGAATATTTAGCCAGTCACGAGCTAATGACTGGCTAGAAAACTTATCTAGTCATTACTATCTAGCTACTAGACTTGAAATCTGCTCTACTAGATAGATTTTTGCTCGGGTAATTGCACACGGTTCGTAGCGGAAAGAGTATCGGTCGAAATCGAAAGAATGTCTCGCTTTTTTCAGCATTTCAGGATTCATTTTGTTCGTGATATCTCTCGTTAAGTAAAGATATGTGTCTCGTCGAATCTCGAATTAAAATTCCCGATAACGATTATCGATAAACTGCAAGTCTTTTTATAAAAATGAGTAAGATCCATTACCGGAAAGTGAAGAACAGACGTAATCTTTTTTATAAGCATACTGCATCTAGAGCAGCATGGTCACTCAGATATCTTATCAATATATTTGTGTATCCGCTTTCAGTGACCAATAAGCATTGTTTCTTTGTCGGCAACTTCCCCGGTGTATCTAATCTTGAGAAAATTTCGAAGAGAAAGACAAGACAGACCTATATTAAGAATATCACTGTGTAATTTACTGATCAGTTGAAATCGCAGCAAGAATGCAGAGCTTACTCTTTCGTACTTTCGCCATATTGTGCCTCGTCTCCGGAAGTATCGGTAAGATCATCGGACCGGTATTTTCTCCGATATACAAGCATTTGTATCTATCGTGTGCAATGTGGCAATAAACACCCGGATTTGACGATGAAGCAAACGAACGTTACGTCAATGGGATTTCTCAATCCGCCGAAGTAATCTTTTCGAAAGTGAATTCGCCGTTTATTGAATCGCACTCGAGTGCACGAAGAGAGATAACAAGTGTACGAAATGTTTGCGGAGTGCCTGCCGAATGTACGGGGATAGCTTCGCTGAAATTTCGTTCCCTTGCATAATTGCATAAGATTTTTTGCCACCGCGAGTTTATCGAACCGTTTGTCGCGTAATAAGCGACAAGACGAGGCGTACGATCGCGCTGCGTTCCTAGTGATCCGTCGTGTGTGTGATGACACGGGAGTTTACTTTGTCATTTCATTTAAAGCTCGGCAAATACACCTTAGGTCTATACGGCTTGGTAAATGCACGCCACTTCGGCTACCTGTCTTCACGTCGCGACTTTCGAGGCGATATTGATAACAACGGCAATTTCGCGATTCGCGAAAGATCCGAGAAAGCAGGAAGATACGCGGATAACGATAAACTTCTTGAAAACGATTTGCGAGTCCAAGTTGCAACAGCTGGTTGCTAAATTTCTGAGCGCGAATCTCATTAAGTCTTCGCGAAAATCCTACTTGAAAAAATATAACCTCATTTTTAGCGAAATCCTCTTATGATATCGCCTCAAGAGGATTCTTCTAAGTCCGAAAGAAAAATATCTTAATACCTCCCAAAAAAGGAATTTTAATTGCAAGATATTCTTTTTTAGGATATGGGATTACGTTAAAAGGAAGAATATCTAAAAAATAGTAAATATTTCTTTTTGTTGGGTACTAACAACATATTTAAATTCTTTTATTTAAACAGAGTAAATAATTGCTGTTATGAAAAGCTAAGGTGTTATCAAAGTTTTAAGAAAATAAGTGTTTTCTTTTATTTGAAAAATATTTTATTATATTACAAATGAACATGTTATTAGTGTACTTAGCGAATAAATATTTACGATTTCTTATATATTTTATCCTCTTTCAATGCAATCTCATATTCTAAGCGAAAATTTTTGCTAGAAAAATCAATTTCTCATTTAATAAGGAGGAGAATAATATTCTGCTTGGAGAGAATATTTTTCTCTTACAAGTAAGCCTATCCAAAAGGTACACTCCGATTTCCTTCTAATTTGGCACAAATATAGAAGTACAAAAAATATTTAGGTCATATTTTTTCATTTTGACTTTGAATTTTACGTGCAGTTTATAGCTTTTTAATGTTCTCATTTTTATCAATAAGTGCAACAAAAATGCATAAGAAATAAAATTGAAATATAAGATATAGTTAAATAATTTTAACAAAATCAACATAGCTGAGACACGAACCATTTTAAATTTCTTTAACCGAGATTCCAAACGAAATATTTCAAATCTAAATTAGTCAAAAATGGTCCGAATCTCGGCCAAACCGAGAGAAATCCGGCAATTTTAATTAAAATTTGAACAAAATCGACATAGCTGAGACACGAACCATTCTACATTTCTTTAGCCGAGATTCTAATCGAAATTTTAACCGATATTTTAAATCTACTGTAACCTGTATAACTTTTGGATAGGTTTACTTGTTAGTTTCAAAGGAATCCCCTTGAGGTCACATATAAGAATATCCCGCTAAGCATGAGATTGTATTTTTTGGGTGCTAACATTACGTCTCACGCGACCTTTTTATGTATCATCTATATCTCGCTAATAACAAAACTCCTTCACCGACGAAAGGGAGGGAAGGTTTCGGCCCTGGTGAACAAGAATGGGGCTTTGTCAAAGTGCGTCCCTCCGCGAACATGTTCTGGTGGCTCTACTACACCACGGCGGATGTTAAAACGTATCACGACAAACCACTGGTGATCTGGTTGCAAGGTGGACCGGGTGCATCTTCGACGTCATTTGGGAATTTCGAGGAGCTGGGTCCTTTGGATCCCAAATTGAATCCGAGGAATTACACTTGGGTAATCGATTACATCCAACAAAAACGTGAAATAAAAAAAAAGCTTTGACCGATTAGAACGATCGGTCGAGATAAATTTGCAAATCTGTAATTAATAGCGTGGGTGATCCTCTATCTTTATTTCCCGTAGGTCAAAGACTACAACGTCCTTTTCATCGACAATCCCGTCGGGGCCGGTTACAGTCATGTTGAAAGTATGTCAGCATTTGTGAAGACAAACGCGCAAATTGCGAGCGATCTCGTAGAATGCATGCGTGGATTCTACAAACAATTACCGAGTTTCCAAAATATTTCAACGTACATCACCACCGAGTCGTACGGTGGAAAGATGGGGGCCGAGTTCGCCCTCGCTTGGTATCGAGTAAGAGACACGAAATGTTGATTAATCCTTTCGTCATTGTGCTTTTATCGGGATAATTAATTGTTCCTTCTAAGAATTCTTCTTTCTGAATCTGTCTTTGACACGAATGTTTCACAGGCGCAAAAGGCTGGCACTATCAAAAGCAATCTAAAAGGAGTCGCACTCGGAGATGCTTGGATTTCCCCTATCGATTCTGTGATGACATGGGCACCATTTTTACTCAGCATGGTAGATAGTCTTAATATTTGCATTATTAGAGTTATTAAAATTTTTATGCTTCTACGTGTGTTTAAGTAAATAAATTTTTTCAACTAATACGCACACACATATGTACCGCTTAGGGTATAATCGATACGGAAAGTTATAAAGAAATCGACGAAGCAGCGAAAGAGACGGAAAGCAAAGTCAAGACTAATCAATGGGCAATGGCGACTCAATATTATGCTTACACACAAAACATCATTTTGCAAAAAACTTACGACGTCGATTTCTACAATGTCCTCACAAAGAAAACTTTCGAGTCATTTTCCCACTACTGGTTCCCAGACACAAAACCGCTGGATAAGTCGCTCACGAACGAAGGTAAACACACTGAGAAAAATCATTTTTCATCAATTGTCGTTTTAGACATACATTGCCTGAGATACAATATTGTTTGTTAAATGTACAAAATTCATTATAAATATAAATGAGCGGTTTCGAAGAAATAGATATTTATATAATAATATGTTGCTTTCTCCAAATTCTTACAGAAAGAAATATTTCTTTGTTAATACAACTGAATGTCACTTTTCATTTCTGACTTCTGCATCGCTAGCAAATCAAATTTATGATTTGTTGGATTACCTACATAGTAGCATATCTAGTAGTATTCATTGCAGAAATGTCGTTACAACAACAAACTGAAAGCAACAAATCATTTGTTTCTATAAAGGAATTGTTCGCTGTCCTATATTATCGACCATTTGTTACGGATTTTGTTAAATTAGCAAAACTATTTTTCTCAGTGCAATTGTGTAATTCGAACTGCTGTATATGTGTGCCACTTTGTCACACTAAGTAATTTTTTATGAAGGCAGCGGATATACAGGGATGTATCAGTACCTAACGATACACATGAAACTCTCATACATGTGTAGATTAGGTTAAATTGACCAAAAATGTTTCCTACTATTTTATAAATAATCACGTAGACTTTTTACTTATTAATTGAAGAAGTTTGGCGAACGATTGTGTGTAATTATTTGCCTATCTTCTTTCGATAACTCAAAATAGTACGTATTTGTTTGCAAAATAGTAGAAAAATTTTCTGTTTGGTTTAACCTGATCTACACGTGCACGTGAGTTTTTTGTCATCGTCAACTCCTTTTATGAATACTTGTGAAAAGCAAAATAAAGAAGAAAAGTCGCAGTACTTATTTTCAAGGCGACCTGATAGTAAACACCTAATTTTGTTTACGAGTTCAATTGCAGAAGCTACAGGCCGATCCGATTCCAAAATGGAGACCTTCTCACTCGACAAATTGATGAATGGCCCGGTAAAAACTGCGCTCGATCTGCAAGTCACTCACGGCGTGCAGTCTTACTTGGTTTTCTTCTACTTGAAGGAGGATTTTATGAAACCCGCCACTCGCCAAGGTATCAAATACAAAACATGCTTACTGCGGAGCATCGTCGAGGCGAAAGTGAAAAGAAAAAAGAAATAATGAAAGAAGAGAGAGAAAAAGAAACCGACGTGGATTAATGACACATTGTTCTTGAGAGCGTGTGTGAGAAACTCGACCGTTACAAGAGTTACTGAATCAGTTCTAATGTAGAGACATACGAATCCGCAAAATTGTTCTATGTTTCGCACGGATGTTCCTATTTTAGTGGAAGATTAAACGAGCTATTCGTTTTAGTGGAGATGTTACTCGACGAGACCGACTTGCGCGTGTTCGTGTATACCGGACAACTGGACCTGATCGTTGACACGCCAGGTGAGTTGGAATGAGCAATCATGGAAATCTCCCAAACGCGATTTTTCACGGCCGAACACCGTGGAAAATCGGTGAAAAACTGATCGACCTATTGCACAGTAGGGTTAAATGAAATTTCATGTTCCAAAAAAGGCTATAGTCTAGAAATTTGAATCGATTTCGATGTTTTTTCTTTTTTTTAAATAAAAACTAATTAGAATATAAAACAACTTTGTCAAATCAGATTTTTGTGTTTTGTTCCTTTTCTTCTAAATCAGGCATAAGGAAATTAGATTTAAAGATTTTTTTCAATCAAAGAATTCCGACAAACATGCAGAAGCTCCGAACTTGTTACTTCAAAAACAATAATCAATAAACAAATTAATAACATAATAATAATTTAGTCTTACTTAATTCGGTAGCTTTCATTTATTAAAATTAGATACTATTTCAAGCAATTTCGTTTGCTAAGTTAAGATAAGATTTAGTGAGACAAATCAATATCTGTGTGCTTGATGTTAAATTAGATGAGATATGAAATGAATTATTTACTGTTTGATTAAAAAAATCCCTTCCTCAATCTAACACAGAACGGTTCTTCATGTTCTTCTTCATGTTCCCTTCTTCTGATTTAGAAGAAGGGAAGCAAGAATAAAGCAAAGAACAAAAATCTAACTGGACAAAGTTGTTCTTAATTTCATTAACTTTCACTAAAAAAAGCATCGAAATCAGTCCAAGTTTCGGAGCCTTTTTTTGTGTGTGAAACATAAAGCTTCATTTGACTCCACTGTGTGTCGCCTGTCATGTATCGCCGTTTCGTCGCGCTGTTTTCCTACCGCTTTCGTATAATCCCCCGCGTTACAGGCACTCTCCAATGGGTGGAAAAGCTAAAGTGGAAAAAGGCCAACACCTGGAAAAACGCGGTCAGATATCCGCTCGTCGTCAACGACATCATCGAGGGCTACGTAAAGTCTCAAGATAAATTCAGCGTGTATTGGATCAACAGAGCCGGACATATGGTACGCACGTACATATGCGAAGCACTTTCTCTTTTATTATTTGCGCCCGTTCGGCATCTATTAGCCGCCAACCATACTTGGGAGATCAATTCATCGCGAGGGGAATCCTAAATCAAGATGCGCGCGTTAGATATTCGTCGCCGCTACGGAGCTATTAATTCTCATACTTATGCAACATGAATTTCATTAGAGTCATAAATTTTCATGCGTGTGATGTCCAGTTTCGAAGTAACACGCACAACACGGTCACGCATGATTTAGCACTGTTGAATCACTTCGTGAAATTTGCGAGATTTCGCTCAAGTACGAAGTTCTATATATACTCGTTTATTTCGCAAACTTTTCTTTAATTACATTTACGTTTATTTAATTTATTTAAAAGATCACATATATTGCGCAGGTGCCAAAGGACAATCCAGCAGCTATGAAGGGAATACTATTCGACTTGACAAACGAACTTGAGCTTCCCACTGTATGACCACAAACTGATTCATTTTTTTATACAAAGTAGATACTATAAATGCGCACTACTGCGCGCTATTTGTCCCTCAAATGTTTCTTAAATAATATCGCATTCAAGTATCCACAAACTTGCACGCCATCTAATCAAGTCTTACGCAATGCATATAGACGCAATGCATATAGTCGTATTGATTTCATGTACACATAAAAATTAATAAACCCGTCACCTGAAATCTTTATTTTCGACTCACCGATTACCGGAAACTCAAGATTGCCCACGTTTTGCATTCTGAAACGAAAAATATAACATCGTCGATTAGTTACAAGACTTACTGGCTTAAAAAAATACTTGTAGATATAAGAGTATTAACCTTTTATGATTTTTTTTTAACTCGACAACTATATCTCAGTTTTTGATCGCAAAGTATTAAAAGAATACCAGAGTACAGGAAGTCTGTAAACCTGTCTTTGCACCAATCCTGTTCGACCTGAACCGGATCCTCCGGTATAACATCCACGTCCGTCAAAACTGCATTTCTCTGCAACCACACCTACTGATCACAGGTTCAGCCAGATCTGAAACAAAAAGTAAATTTCCCGGTCAGTTATATCGATAAGTGTCAATACATCGAGGATATAGGGGCACGGGTCTGTATATTTCTTTTGTGAGTTAATAAACACGAAGAATGGTATGGATCCTTCTGTATCTCTCAAATACTGTCATTGTTTATCATTGACAATCACGTGTTCGAAGTGCCGCCTTTCAATCGATTCGGAAAAATCGAGAGAATTACACGCACATCTGCCAATTTGTTTACTCTCGCGTCATCAACTGTTATGACCACCCGATAGTTGTCCGCACAGATAAGGTATAATGTCGTAATGACTAAACTAATAAGAATACGCGATCAGTTTTACATTTTTCTTAATAGATACTTAATGAAATTAGTAATACACAAAATTAACGTTTATGTCAAAATTTATCAGCGATCGAAAAATAATAAGAAATAAAATAATCAGTAAGTTTCAAAGATTCTCTAAAATTTTTGAGAAAATATTAAATATAAATATATTATTAATATTTCGCAATATTCAATCGTTAGGTAGTCAAATTGCAACATTTATGTTATTCTTCCTAAAGTCACGTGATTTTTAGCCGACAAAATGCGTGAAGATCGTTAGCTATTAATTAATTTAACACAAATATATTTCTATTCAACGTCCCTTTTTAAATGCAACGAATATAATTAAATCGACATCTCTCTTTGTTCGAGAGGCGACATAATCTATATTGTTATTTTAAAAATTTAACAAAAATAAGTCATCAGAAATCTCGCTAGCTTCGACGACGACAAATAAATGTCGTTGCTTTTGCGTCGGTCGCGAGGAAGTTCAACGAGGAGGAGGAAAAAGAGGAGTAGGAGGAGGAGGAGGAGGAGGAGGAGGAGAAAGAAGAAGAAGCTTCCAAGAAACCGTTTGGCCCCGATATAATTACCGCAACATTGTTTATATATTGGCGCGGTTACGGCCGGCGTGGGTGTTGAAACAGCATATGTGTAAACAGCAATAAAACATGTAGTGCGGTCCCGAATAGGTAACCTCCTCCCCACAAAGGAGCGAGAGGAAGAGAGTGAGCCAGGGAGTTCCCTGGAAAACCACGATGGGCGGGGTTGGACCAGCCTTCTAGAGATTCTCGTGTCAAATTAAACATCCTTCGTTACCTCGAGAACTGAATACGCCGACGTCTCGCTGGAGTCCGCGCTTTTTCCTCGTCTCGATAATAAGGTCGCTACGACTCGCAACTTTGTTCTCTGTGCGACAACGATCCGAGTTATTTTTTTTTTTGCGTACTACAAGGAAGGAGAACAAAGAAAAAAAGTTTGAATAGTTGGTGGCTGTCGAATTACGACAACGCGCTGGAACCTTCCAGCCGCGTTTTGCCGCAAGTATAGAGGCGACGAGATAAACCGCATGAAATTCTACGTTCTTCGTGATTTCATTCAACAAATCTGCTTTGGTCCTTCGTCTCGGATGCTCAAAGAGATTCCCGATGCAACCGGACCTTGGTGATCCTCAGCTTCGAGGTTTCTTGGATGGCGCGAGGAACGGTGGGTGTCACGAGTCTTGGTGCGCTTTTCCTGTGAGCGAGGAAATACTCAGCAGAGCGTGCGCGATCAAGCATGTCTACGGGCTCGCGAACGTTGTTCCAGGGATGCTACGGGCCAACGCTTCCTGGCCGGCATTATGCCAAACGTCGTTCACCTGGACAACATCTGCGGTCGCCTGTAAGACGGCGCCGCGTTACGAAAAGCCCCCGTATTCGTACATCGCTCTGATAGCGATGGCCATTAATTCCACGCCGAAGCGGCGGCTGACTCTCTCCGGCATCTACAAGTTCATCATGGACCGGTTCCCGTACTACAGGGAAAACCGTCAAGGCTGGCAGAACAGCATTCGACACAATCTCAGTCTGAACGATTGTTTCGTAAAGATGCCGCGGGACAAGACCGGGACGGACAACGACGGAGAGGATGGTCGCTCGATCGGAAAGGGCAGCTATTGGACTTTGGATCCGTCCGCCAGCGAGATGTTCGAGCACGGTAATTACAGACGACGCAGAACAAGACGCCAGCAGCGGCTTCTCCCTCGAGAGAAGCAAGAGGAACCGTCGGTACGAGAAATCACTCACTTTTCGCAAAAGAGTGCATCAGAATATTGGTTAATACTAGTGTTGCTCCCGTGTAAAATACAGGATTATATATGCAAAATTGTGATATTCAATATTAAATTTTTCATGAACGGTACAGATAAATCGCGTGAAAATTTAACTATGAATGTGTCTTACCGCGTGATATAAGTGTTATCTCAAATAGCACAGAGAATTCAAAAAGAATTTCAAAAAGAAGTCGTATGTCATCAATTCTGAGTTCATTTTTAGATGCAAAAAGAATTCTTTTTGCATTTGAAGATGAACTCAGAATTGGTGACATACGATTGAATTTTTTTAATTTTTTTTTAATTCTCTGCGCTACCTGGGATGTTACATTTTTTTATAATTTTAAGCATTTTTTGGCTTAAGCAAATAAACTTCGTAATTTAAAAAATGAAAACGCTAAAAAATAACCGCTTAGCGTTTTAATTCTCAAAGCGCGTTTTGAGAAACACAAAGACGTGTCCACGACCGATTACGATATTAAGGCGCAGCTTTGTATGATTACAGGCCCAATTCTTTCCCGGACTGACGCAGTCCCACGAGAAACTTCAAGATACACAGCGTGTGGTTGTTGAAGTTAACGAAAAGAGCTTCAAGATGAAAGACGTAAAATGCACAGATTCCTCGGAACCTATTGCCAAAACTACTATCTTCAGCATCGACAATATCTTACGAAAGTCCACAAGGGAAACGCAAATCTAGTTTTTTGTAAAACTTGTAAAACAGTAATTTTTTACTTGTAAAACAATTATCATGACATTGTCGTATAATAATGATACTATTCTGACAGTGAACGCTTATATTAAACGTCCTCTCGTGATGCTAGTTTAGTTGCAGCCTTACATAGTATAATTTGTTCAGCGCTTTTCCCTGGTAAAAAAAAGTTGATAGAGAACGATTAAGAACGATAAAATTTCTATCAATTTGTATTGTTTTCTATAAGCTCTATCGTCCGCAAGCGTCAGTATTCGCGTCAGTATTCGCGAGATATAAATCCTATCGTATCTTATCTGGTTCTATAAGAATCAGGTTCTATTTGTATTATATAGAAAACTGACGATAGAGCGAAATTCTATTATTATCTATTGTTTTCTTTTGTATACGATAGAATACTATTTACATTTGTGAATTCACGAACCAAAATCCATATTCAAAACGATAGAAAACGATAGAACGATAGAATTTTATTCTATCATTCTCTATAAGCTTTTTTTACCAGAGTTATTCGCTTCCTGAAAATATTATTTATTGCGAGATACACGCATTCTCTGTTGCCGTTAGCTTTCAGACCATATATATATGAGCCATGTATTATTAAAGTGATATAAGTCTATTTTTTTGAGTTTCAAAACATTAAATGTTGATTGCATTTCGATTTATTGAAAAATTTTAACAAGTGTCAATAGTGTAATTTCGTGTTTTTGTAATTATAAATAGTTTAATTTATCAGGCATATACTTTTAACCCAACATTAACCGATGAAAATAAAAAGATTATATATTATTATGATATAATAATAATTTGATAGCTATTTGACAGATATTTGATAGCTATTTGACAGCTGTTTAACAGCTGTTTGACAGCTGTAGAGTAGTCATCTTGTTGTAATAAGATAGAGTGAAAAAGCAACTTCTCACTCTATCTTTAACTACTTTTAGCTTTACTCGACAGATGGCAGTAAATAAAGTCGAAGCTAGCAACTCAGATGAAAATACAGACATAACCTTCTCACTGTTTCGCTTTCAAAGTGGAGTGTGAAGATGATACGTACACCTTATAAAATACTATAAATCTTAACGTTATAGCTGTTTAAAATTTTATACCTATTATACTTATGTTATTCGTAAAATGGGAATGTGGAAATGTAATGCACTCTGGTGTTACAGCTAGAAACTAAACTGTGTGTTACATGTACACAGTACAGTGTATGCGCGTATGTATTGGAAAACGTCTTATATGTATAAAGTCCATTGATCCATAAGAATTAAATGAATTTCGAAACATCTAAAAAATAGTCAATCTTTTAAAAAAAAGAAAGAGAAAATTAAGGAAATTAAACGTTAATTTATCAATTGTCATTCGATCGTAGGACGTGGCTAAACAACATGGCAACCGGTGATAACAGAAAAGTTGCTCTGATAACAGGTATCACGGGACAAGTAAGTTAATTTTTGTTCCCAATTAAATAATTTATTCTATTTTTAAAGGCTCTATTTTTAAATTATAATCTTAATAAATTAATTTTATTATAATATTGTACTCTATAAAATAAAGCTAAATAAGGAGAAAAATTTTAACTAAACTTATAAAACTTATAACTAATGTAAATGATATAGTGACATCTGATTAAAAATTGAAATAATTTTTCCTTGATAAAAATACCAGAGAAATCAGTTTTGTTTTTACTGATCTTACTACATCTTGAGACGAAACAGAATTTTATATTATTTCCAATTGTTTACTCTGCTATAGGATGGTTCTTATTTAGCAGAGTTTTTATTGGAAAAAGGATACGATGTGCACGGCATTATCAGGCGAGCTAGTTCATTTAATACTGCTCGCATTCAGCATCTTTATGAAGATCCAAAATGCCATCGTCAAGGTAAAATGAAATTGCATTATGGTGACATGACTGATTCCAGTAGTTTGATCAAGGTTATTAGCCAGGTACAGCCAACAGAGATTTATAATCTTGCAGCCCAGAGTCATGTTATGGTTTGTACATTTATTAAATATATATATATATATATATGCATATACATATATAATATTATGTGTATATGCTAAACTGTAGAAATGATATGGCATTGCTATTGTTACAGGTAAGCTTTGAAGTAAGCGAGTATACCGCAGAAGTAGATGCAGTAGGAACTGTAAGATTATTAGATGCTATACGTATATGTGGCTTAGAAAAATCAATAAAATTTTATCATGCATCAACGTCTGAACTGTATGGTAAAGTGGTTTGTATTCCACAAAATGAGAAAACGCCGTTTTATCCACGTTCACCATATGGTAAATAATGCAAAGTTGAATTTACATCAAATAATGTGTAGAAGTATATTAGAAAGTATTTTTTTAATTTTAGCTTGCGCGAAATTGTATAGCTTTTGGATCGTTGTAAACTATAGAGAAGCCTACAACATGTTTGCATGTAACGGAATATTGTTCAATCACGAGAGCCCGCGAAGAGGAGAAAATTTTGTCACTAGAAAGATCACCAGGTCTATAGCAAAAATACAGCTTGGTCTATTGGATGTGCTTGAATTAGGAAATTTAGATGCAAAACGTGATTGGGGCCACGCCAAAGACTATGTAGAAGTTTGTAACTCTATTTTCACATTCACTACACAAATGAAATACTTTAAGTTTTCTATAATAATTTATATTTAACGTAGGCAATGTGGCTAATGCTTCAACAAGCAGAACCAGACGATTATGTTATAGCAACAGGAGAGATGCACAGCGTCAGAGAATTTATAGAAGTAGCATTCAATTATGTGGGTCGCACAATAAAATGGGAAGGCGAGGGTGTAAGTGAGATAGGACGAGATGAACAAACTGGGAAAATATTAGTTCGCGTGAACCCAAAATATTTTCGTCCAACTGAAGTGGTAAGATTATGTGTTAACTGTTAAGACGGAAATATCACATGTGTGTTTTACATTCAAATTGTGTGATATGTAAAAAAAACAGACCTATTTTCTGGCTTATACAGTCGATAGCATGATTCTTTTGCTTTGTTTTATAAAAAAACGAACTCGCGTGTCATGAGATCTCATATACGTGCGTATTCAAGATACTATTAATTCGCCCGAGTTATATATAGAACATAAAACTTAAAAATAAATTATATGTTCTATTTTACGATTGCTTCGAACAGGATACGCTTATGGGTGATGCGTCTAAGGCAAAAAGCAAATTTGGTTGGAAACCAACGATCACATTCGCAGTAAGTATAGGTTTTCTCATTGAATATTTAATATTTATATTTATTTGTATTTAATATTCCGCGCTAATTTAAAAATATATCATGGCTAAATTAATGTGTTTATTAATAATGCACATTGCAGGATCTTGTAAAAGATATGATGGAATCTGACTTGGAATTAATGCGAAAGAACCCAAACGCCTGAAAGCATCGTTTAATTTGTTGCACAACAAATTAAAAATACTGGATAATAAGTAATTATAAATGATTCTTAGTATAATATTTCTATAAGGGAACTAAATGCATTTCCATAAAGTATCTTTATTTTTATTATTATTTCCATAAAATATCAGTATTTAATACTTGAATGAGAACCTAACATGAATAAAACCGCCAGTTTCCAATGATACCTGATATGAGTCTAGCTTGAGGTGGGCGCGAGAAGGGTGAGTAAGTACGATTTTGTTACAAGTGCAAATGAAGATTATTAATAAATAATAGAAAAAAATTTAACATTTATTTCGCACCTATAGACCTCAATAATGTTTTTTGTATTGTTGCTTTGACTCTTGATTGTCAATTATACATACCTTATTAACTTCTGCAATAAAATGCAGCATCATAGAGAGAAGTTCGAGAGACATACCAGTAACAGTTTTTTGAGCTGCTTTTCTCAAGTCGTGTGTGGTGCTCCCTGAAATCATAGATATAAAGTATATCAGTTACATTTGTCAATACTATCGTTGAATTATAACTTGTAATCTTTTGCTATGCATTATATACACATTAATAACTGACAAGATGCACTAGCAGAGAGAAACTCGAGAGCCGTCTACCGTAACGGTTTCTTGAGAGGCATCTTTCCCGCGTCATAACCCTGAAAAAATAGATACAAAATATATCAGCCACGTGTACTTGTCAACGCTATCATTAAACTATAACATGTCCTTTATAATTTTCAATTTTTAATACCTAATCGGGAAAGACGGGATTTATAAACGCTTAAAGAGTGTGGGCACCCAAAAAGACGTATTAAATTTCGAATCCTCCTTCTCTCTCTTTCTTGTGAGCTGAGGTAGGCATTCCATTGACCAGTAAGTTTCGAATTCGCTACCATTGCGCCACCATTATTGCGATTCTAAGATCGATATTATTAATCGAATCTTTATCGATACCTCGTAACGAAATCGTATCATCATATGGATCTTTTATTTGAAGGAAATTGCGCGATGCAAACGTCAGATATAGAGCTAGAATAAAATTTATACCTGACATTTCTATTTGACATTTCATTCGAGCCATCTGTATCCACAATCCGTATGTATCGATACTTCGACAATCGCAATGGTCAACTTATTTTATCTGTACCATAAGCGACGCCCATGTAATACGCGTGATCAGTGGAAGTCACAGATGTCTAAACTAGTAGTCTGTTCTTTTCAGCTGCACTGCTGAACTGCAATAAGTTAGAGTGAGAAAACATAGACTTGTCTCACTTTAACTTATTGCATCAGTTCAGCAGTGCAGCTGAAAAGAATAGACCATGTATTACTAATAGGCTATCTAAAAGCGTATAACGGCTTGTATCCGATAGAGTTTCCGGTGTATGCGAGAAAATGGCCGCTACCGTCATATATTTTCACTACGTTTAGTCATAAAATTTTTTTGTTGTAAATGAGCAGAGCAAATAACGTCCAATACCATCTATTTTTTTGTTACGACATTTTTTGATGCAATAAGATGCTGGCATTTTTGGTTTTACGACAGTAATTTAATGGCCACGCTGACTCAATTGTACGTGTAAGTACTCACACATTGCACACTCAACGTCACACACACAGGACCGCCGCCATTTTCTCGCATGCAACCGGAAACCATACGTGACACACGTTCAAAATTCTTGTTAGCAATCTAGTTTCGTATAGACATCTGTGGTGAAAGCGGAGTCTTTTCTCTCACTTTCTATCTCTCTCTTCTCGATTGCAAGATTGTAAACAATTTAAACAGAGGCAGGATTAAGAGAAGAATGCGATTGATATGGGTCGACGAGAGGTATGCACTTTGCTTACTGATCCTGCAGGTGAAATTAACAAACTCGCGGACGTCTTGGAGATTAAACGCTGCTGACAAAGTCGTGAAAACAGACTTCGTAAGCGCGGTCGAGGACGATCCGATCTTCGATATCCTGACTAACAATGTGGTTACCGGCAACGGCCAAGGCTGGAGCAAGACCGCAACGGGGGAAAAGCATGAGAAAGTACAAATATACTGCCAAGAATGTAAAGGCTTCGTTGGTCACCAAGAGAGGTAAAGTTAATCATGCTATTATCGCCAGATTAGATCGTCAGGTTATAAAATGATATCCATAGATCACGTTTTTTCTGTAGCTGCGTTTTCTGTGCCTTTTTTCTCGATTTCTCTCTCTCTTCCCCCTTTCTTCTATGATATCCAGGTTATTGTGCTAATTTGATTTTCAATCCAATAAGTATAATATGGCACAGAAAAGAAAAACAGACCCTGTGTGCTTTAATTACCTGCTGTCTGGAATATGTTGTTTGTATGATCATTTTCATGCACTTTCTGAGAATTGTTGAACATTTATATTACAGCATCTGTGTGCCAACCTACTGCTTAAAATAGATGACCAAGAAAAATGCAATAAATGAGATCACTTGTAGTTAACTACACTGTGCTTGTGTATTGCTGTTACTTATTATTAAATTGTATCTCCTTATTCCAGTTTCTTTGTGCTTTTAATTTGATATTATTTTGTGTATTGACGTTTTTGCATAGATTTCTCAATTTTATCACACAAGCACTACTATTTATGTCACATAATTTTCTTTTTTTTTCTGTAGTTAACATTTTGTGTGTGGCTTGCTGTTCATTCAGTGTTAAAACAGCCTTAACTTTGGTCCCCTTGGCAGACGACTTTCGTCGTACATGTTGAAGAATACACAAAATATCAGCGAGTCTTTTCCCCTGCCTTCACAAGTGTCAAACGAACAAGTGACATGTGCTTCTGGTCAACAATGCGACAACATAATATTGGATTGTGGTAAACCAGTCAACTTCACGTACTATGACAATTTGATTGGTGTGGTAAACAGAAACAAACATCCAGTGATACCAGAGCCAAATGTAGCATTAATGTTTAAAAAGAATGGTGGCAGGACCATTGATGTTGATATTGACTTGTTAGAGAGGCGCTTAAAGAAAGCAAAGCGAGAGGTATTTATTGTTAATATAATTTACATATTTTTTTATTTTTATTTTATTCATTTATATGAATTCGAAAATACTGCCTATTTCTATATTGTAATTATTATTTAAAAAGTGTCTCTCTGTTAAAAGGCACATCTGTGTCTCTCATTTTTCTCCTTATATATTTCTCTTTAAAAATTTACAGAAACCGAAATCTGTCCAGCTATATAATCAGATAGGAAATTTCTGGCGTATAAAGGGCGATGCACAAAAGTCGATCGAATGTTTTCGCAGAGCACTCGCCGTGTCACCGCATAATGCAGAGGTGCTCTTAAACTTGGCTAGAGTATTGCTGGTACAGCATTACTTGGATGACGCAACATATTTAGCCAGACGGTCCCTAGAATTGCAACCTCCAGATCGCAATGCGTGGGAACAATATCTTACACTTGGACAAATATTCAAAGTGAGTAGCGTAACGTAATTGATAATACAATAGCAGCATTGTTATGCCAGATATAAAAAGAACGTAATAATGTAGTATTGAGTACGGCAACAGTCACTGTTGAAGCAACTAAATAAAAAACTCGAGATCCTGAGTATTCGAAAGCGCGTCTTTTAGATTCGTTTTTTCTCGGATTATAGGCATACGGACATTTTCAAGAAGCAGCTGTACATTTGCGTCACGCGCTAGAGTTAAAACCAGATCTATCTGATGCTGCTGATGCATTGAAGGAAGTAGAGTCACTACCGGCTACAAGTATACATTTCTACACGTTGTTAATTATCGTCTGTTTGGTACGTAACTAATTCAACACGCATGGTGTCCAGCTTCTATTGTTGCAATATCTATAACATCTACAGCAATGTTCATTGATGCTTTCAATATCATTCTCAAATATTTTTTTAATAAATTACTATCTAAACTTTTAATAAATTACTATCTAAACGTTTTTTTCATAAAGGAGCTACTTTTAACTATTTTTTGTAAAGATTTAGGAAGCGACAGTGATCATTGATGTGTTCATTGTTATCTTAGGTAGTCGGTGTACTGTTGGTTATATTAAACAATGTAGAATGCGACGAGGATTCAGCTCTAGTCAGTGGGCAGCGTAAACATTTCAGTCGTGCTATGGCTATGCGCAGCTTGCGTCTCAACGTTGCACGCAACAAACGCTGTTGATTATGATTCGTTAATGGCGAGCCAGTCGCTCGTACATGTGATAGAATAACTTTTGATGCCATAACAATTTATCTCCTTGCAAAGTATTATTTGTAATATGATTCGTAATGATTCTTGGAATGCACTACCTATTTGTTATGTATCTGCGGAGAAAAATATATGGAAAAATATACAAGAACTTCACTGTTACTTCAAGTTGTTCGCTGAAAATCCCATGACCTTTATCTTCATTATATTCATTCATTCATATACGTATATATAATCGGGATAAAACTATCAGCGCAGATAATCACGAAGCAAGAAATCGAAATACCTGAAACAAGTGTCGAAAAAGGATACAGGATGTTATTACCATGAGCGAGTAATCGTTGGACTAAGCTTTCCTCAGTAACTTTCTCTAGTTAGAAATCACAACTATAACTTAATTTTGTATATTAGACTTTTCTATCGAGAGCCAGTTGGAAGAAAATTTCGATAAATTTCAACTTAAATCCGATATTTATTCTTGTAGTAGTGTTTACAGAAAATAAAAAATATGGAATGTAATTATCATAATTACAATGATTCTCTTTTAGTTGCTATCGTGTGTGTGTATATATATATATATATATATATATATATATATACCGCGTGTTTATATATATATATATATATATATATATATATATATATATATATATATATATATATATATATAAACACGCGGTATATTATAACAATTTCCTCAGTTACCACAAACAGAACACTGGAATAGATATAAGCGAATCTTTAATTTGATCTTCCATGTATATCGGTTTGTAACGCAATTCTGTATTTGTAAGTAGTATATTCATATGTTATATATTAGAACTAAAAGTGTGTCTCAATATATGCTTGTGGGACATCCCAAGAAAAGCGTGAAACAGCAGCAGAATTATTCTGTTAAGGCTCCTTAATATTTTAATTTTTCGACAGGCATCTTGCGCCTCAGATAATGAAGCCTTTGTTTTAGTTTCATTTTGTTTCCAATATATTGCCTCAATTCAAATAATAATCTAATCCCAAATATATCTTAGCAATTGTTCCTATGATAGAAATTTAACTACGACACAAAGTTCTTCTAAACATTTAAATTATCATATTATCTATTACATCTATTTATTATATTTTACTTTTATTAAACAATATCTTCTTATATATGATATGACAGTATCTACCCATATTTCTTAAAATTTGTTTACGTTTGACGTATTTTCAATAGCTCTTTAATTATAAATCTTCACTAATATCTTTATACAATTTATCCACATGACATATTTTCCGCTGTCAGTTCGCACTTTTTTGGGACATTTTCTACAAGAGATAATTCTCTCCAAGTTGTTGAAAAAGAAACAATATGTAACGCGATCGCGTCTAAACATTCATTCAACAAGATTCACGCTAATATTAATGTTTAACAAGGCTATTCTAAATTTTATATTAAAATTTAGCAGAGTAATACAAATAACATTGTACAGTTTATGATCTAATTAATGCGCATCATAGACAGTAATATTCTATCTAATTTTTGCCGCGAAGGCAATTATTTTTCATCACATCAAATTTTTACATATATCGATCAGATTTTTTGTCAATAGCTTACGCATCATGCTCATAAGATATGTAAATGTAAAGTAATTGCTGCAAATATTTGTAATTCAAAAGAAGTAAAAATCCTAGACATTTATTTATATTGCTTATATGCAATGAGAAATTAGAACATATCTTTATTATTTTTGTTGGATATAAAACTTTAATTATTCTGCTGCAAAATCCAATATATATGATCTGATGAAAATTTTCCTCGTTTAATTTCTCGATATTGAATTTCTTAACCCGTTTTCGTTATAAAAAAATAAATATGTGTTCTAAAATCCATAGAGAGAAAAATACAAAATATATATTCTATAATATATAGTTAAATTTTCTCCCTACATATGTATACAATTAGGCTTTTTTTACACAAATTATTAGTAGTATATTGCTTTTGTGTGATTAATAGATAATTAATATATCTTAAATGATAAACTAAGAAATACCTTTGAAAAAAAAGAATTGAAAGATTTAAAATACTAGTAACTTGATCTCAACAAATGAGAATTTATACGAAAATTCAATTTGTACAGAGGGAGTTCGATTGTATTAAGATTGAACAAAAAACTTTACGAACATCCAGTGTACGAGAGGGAAATATATATATATATATATATATATATATAGAGTAGGCTCTGTAATATTTACAAAGACTGAAATCGTTAGCTAACAGGCCAAATGTTATATTTAATATACACTGAAGATATATTGCACCATGCTTCTAAGGATAATTCATAAAAAATTATCTGCACAGTAAAATAATTAATTGATATTTAAAAAAATCATTGAATATCAGATTAAAGTTAATAATCTACTTAAACTCCAGTTGTAATCTATAAAAGTAATTAATCTCTGCTTTGTACACACACATACACACATAATTTATAGTTAATACTGCATTGACAGTGGATGACTGTCTAATAAAAAGACAGTATTATATTGCTCGACCTGTCGAACAAGCATGCAACGTTCAATCCATGAAACAAATTCTTTATAAGTCAGGTCTGCCCTAAAATATTCATTAGAAATACTTATTTCATATTCCGTTTGAATATTAAGAATTTGAATGATCATTTTCACATATTTTTAAGTCAAATTTCTGTGAACGTTGGAAAGGATCGGTAAATCGAATATTATGCCGCATTCGTCCAAATATTAATATAGTGTTGCATCAATTATTATAATTTGCCTCGAATTTGTTTCCAATTCGTTGAACAAATCAACGTGCAAGGCACTAAATGCATCTGATATTGACATTTACATGTACAAGAAATCATGTCACATTATTCAAATACACTGGATGTCCGAAAATAATATTAAGAGTTCTCAAGTAGCATTTATAAGTACAATACTATTACACAGGGTGCTACACAATCACAGAACAATCGGGAAGGAATGCTTCTTCTGGAGAAGAATGAATCAAGTTTGGAAAACTCTCTAAGAGTCTCGTATGTAAGAGAGCCATCGCTTTTCATGAAAAAATATTATCCCCTTCACCATTGCTACTATAATTTTCGTCACGCACTGTATAGTATAGTAAATATACATCAAACTTTTCTCTGCTATTCACAAAAGACGTCCTTCCTCCTATAATTATCTTTGACGTCTCGAGCTGTGCATTTAAGATATATGAATGCACACATTAATTAATATAGAATTACGGTATAGCATAATTCATTTGACAGTAACGATAATTCAACAATATCTTATGAGCAAACTGCCCTGTATGTATAACCTAAATTCTTACAGCACGGCTATTTCAGATGTTGCTATGTATATATTACATGTATTACGTTATATACATATGTCTGGAAAATTAAAATTGCACCCAACTGGCATTGGCCACTGTGGGTGCGGGTGCCGACGCTGTCTGCGAAGCACTGGCAAACTCGCCCCATTCTGAACCCGTAGTACCTTGACTTTGACTTTGCGGTGGTTTGTGTGCTGGTGAGGAAGTTGGAGTTTTCGCTGGTGGTGGTGCGATCTTGACGCCACCAGGTGGAGGTGGCAAACCCATGGCTGGATTGGTACGTTGTCTCGCTTTGGATGAAACCTCACTGCCATCTTTTTTCTAAGTATAGAAAAATTATTGCAAATTTAAAATTGTTTTGTATCCAAAAGAGCAATCAATGGAGTGGGACAATAAGAATATTACTGTTGAAAAATTATTACAAACTGATGTGCTATTCTGTATAGCATAGAAAGTAAAATTACTATTCGTGGTTCTATCATCAACAAGGACAAGAATTTGATACATAATATAGCACTTACAGTGATCTTCATGTTAATCTTGATAGTTTCACCTTCCTTGAACCTGAGATCCAATTCTTGCTTTGGCTTCTCCTTTTCTTTCTCAATTTGTTCCCGATTCTTCAACCTTTTGAAGTGATCTTGAAGAGCAACATTCAAATCGAAACTATCAGACCTATCTAAGAAACCGATACCAATAAAAGCAGACCGCCCATTGTCATCTTGAATTCTTAGGACAAAATATCGAGAGGAATCAGTGACTGTCTCTACAGCTATTCCAGGATACTGCTCAATCGGGCATTTTGCAAACAGCTCGCCCGTAATCTTGTCCTCTAGCTTTATGGTTACATTATCCCCTTCTGATACCAGTCGCATGCGACCAGTCCACGAAGGTTCCTGCAAGTTCCAGTCAGCTGCCCTGCAATGTATCGTTGACGAAGTCTCCGCCATCCGTGCAATTGAGCAAAGACGAGAAATTTATCTTTCGATCTCACTTAGCATTAGACATATTCAAGCAGTTACGGTAGTCCCGGCCGAGAAAGAAACTACGGAACCATTTCGCGTTTGACACATCGGGATGCGTTTACAACATATTGAACAGCCGCGATACGTCACGTCAAAAACGTTCGTCCTTACCGATAACCCCTGTTGGTTGACCTTGGCGGAATTTTGAAGACGAAAACCTCGGACTTCACCAGCAGGACTCTCTCATACGTTTCCATCGTGCTCGCTGACAACTTTCACAACGTAAGGATAAGCACGAGCAGCTCTCGCGAAGCTGCTGTTCGAAAGCGTTTCGTTTATGTGTATTTTATGACGAATGTCCGCCGTGATTTGATAACTTTATCTTGAGTCACGCCTCCAGTCCCACTCCGTCTATCGTCCCTTCCACGATTGTCCACAGATTAATCATACATAGACCGGCTAGTCGTCGCCTTTCGCGTGCAGCCAAAGGAAGTGACTTATCGATAGATACGCGATTTGGGGCCGATTTTTTCAACTTCATAGTAAGCTAACAATTGAATCATACGTCTGATTCTTTGTCTGATTTGAAGAAACAAAGACAAATATATGATTTAACTATTATGCACGCGTTTCTATCAATTAAATCTAAACTAAAATTTAAGTTTTTGCCTGAATAGAATTTGAACACAAATGAATCGATAGAAACGAACATCAGTTTTACAAGAGGTTAGAAAAATCGGCCCTAGGAAAAAACGTTGAAGATCGATTCATCAGTATCTATAAAATTTTCAACAATAAGAGAATTACGCAATAAATTCAGTCTCCTTTCTGTAGAGAACGTTTAAATTTAAGACGAATTTATTCATTAACAAGGTAAAATTATTCTGAATAAATTGCACATGTTGTTATCCAAAAACCGCATAGGCGAAATTGGAAATGATAGGTAAACCGCGTTAACCTCTTTTCTCCTTAAATATTGTATGATTTTATGACAAATCGTATACAAAGTTATTGTAGTGATGTGAGCATAGTGAAATAAGATACAGATACTTGTAGGATCTAAAAAAAAAAATCATGATGCTACTACACATATCTCACTAAAAAATCATTCAAGTAATCAACATAACGTTAATTTACATACCGAGCTGAAATTCTCCATCGACATCACGTACATTTTCCCAGCTTTTATTTGACACGGCCTGCTAGTACGCATTAACATGAATTTTAACAGTCGCTTAGATCTCATTGAGATCCTGTACCAGTCGCAATTGTAACTATTGATATATTTTTGTCGTCAGTTAACGCAAGTTTTGAATTCGGTACTCGCCATGAAATTGTTGATTGATGACGTTAGAAATGAAAAGATACGTTGCAAAATGTGTAGAAATAAAAAGATATATCCATGAAATGACCTTGACAGCACCGGACGTGGCGAGCACGTCGCTACGACGTAATAACGTCGTAACGACGTGCTTGTAACGTTCTTGACACGTCTGTGCAGACAAGAGACACTTGCAATCATTCGAGCGGACGTGTAAAATAATCCGAACACATTCTAACGATCAGTAGACAAAAATTAACGTGACCTAACTTTCTTCGTGAAGAAAGTTCTTTCTTTCGTCATGTTAATTCGACTATTATTTATCGATTGTTAGAACAAAAGTATCAGAACTATCTTACATATCCGCTCGATCGATTGCGAGTGTCACTTTATGGATATATCATTTTAATTCCATGTATTTTGTAGGAAATTGGAGCGTACATTCTCTCTGATGTCTTCAATCAAGATGGCCGTGGCGAAGGACCAAGAGCCTTAAATAATAGTGAATAAATATACGTACATTGCTCCGTGAAGTCTGTCACTTTGGTCGAGCAATCGTTGACACGTCCAACTTAGATAATAAATGTGTAACAATTGAGCCGTGCTAGCGGCAATAATTCTGATAATTTCATCAAATTGAACGTCCACTATTATCAACTTGAACACAGTACACAACATGATCAAACATATCAAATGAATATATACAGCACCCAAAATTATTGAATACTTACTTCAGCCGCGCTGAAACTCAAGCATATGACCACATTTCCTAACAGAAAAAGGTAGGATGTTGCGTAAGCGAATGAAAGCAGTTCGGAAAATCTTGATGTAAAATGATAAAACAGTTGTGTTAGTCTATAGATAAGCAAGTCTGGTACAATCAGGCTACCTTAATTTAAATGTGAAATTTCAGTGGAGCTATTCGATCTTCGCGTACAATGTTGGGTCTGTGAAACTTGAACAAATATTTGATTGTTCATCAATTTTTATAAAGATCTAGAAAGATTTAAAAATAGCGCAAGTCTGTTTACAGATTTTGATTTTATTGCGCTATCTTATAGCTAAGGTTTTTCTACATCTCTGAAAAGAAATGTGTCTTAAAATATCAATTTTCACCGAAGTTACGGTGATTCAAAGTTGCTCAGCTCTAACAGACTTAGATCGACATTCTAAAATGTATAATTGTACGCGAAGGGTTAAATTGCTCCGGAGCTCATAAATGTCGTACGAAAATTATATAAAGTACAGTCATCCCTGTTTATTTGCCTCATTATTCGAAGCTGTCGAAATCCGAATAACTTGCAATTGTTACTTGATAAATCAAATGTATAGAAAAATAAGGGAAAGAAAACTTTCCTCGAGAATGCGAGATAAGTGTGCATAACTAAAGAGTACATCCAAGTGACACTAACTTGAGCACGTATTTGTGCAATCTGATACAGTCAATTATTTTATGATATTGTTCGTCGTTCACAATGTCCGGCTCAGAGGTCGCAAAATCCGAGCCTTGTATGCGCGTCATGTCGTACCTATTTAAACGAAAACGCAACCTCAGAAGAATTTTCTTCAAGCGACTTGTTGGCGAGAGAGCGACTTACTGTATGATCTCAAACAACGCGCAGGCATGCTGGATGCAAAGTATAAACAACGTGTCGATCGCGATCGGCACTGCCACTATGTAGAATACGCTGATGAAGGCGTGAAGCATCAGCAGACTGAAGTATTTGTCCACATCGCAAACGTGCTCTAAACGATAAAGGAATCTGGCCGTGTAGGTCACATTCATCGGTAGAAGTTCGTATGTCCAGCTGACGACGAGCGGCGTCGTACAATAAAAGAGCCACACCAAGTAAAAAACCACTAGAATCAGTCACTTCTTATTGTCATGATATCGCTAGGAAAGTTGTTGTCACGCAATTTGGTTCGAGATATAATTCGATCAAATCGAGAAGGCGACGTTGAGAAGTAACATCGATCTCGTGGCTCTTTCGCGTTTCTAAGCACACAAGCAGACATTCCCGATCGTTATAAGACGAGATAAACTTACACGCGTATCTTATCGTGTAGGTTTTGCTTTGTTCCGCGTAGCTCCGCAATATTTCATTACGTGGACCCACTTGGATTATCTTCCAGGTCTCCTCGACCTGCTCCAGAAGCTCCCTCATCTGTAGCTCGAAGAATTCGTTCGGTTTACGATCACAGAATGCCTGGCAGGCTGTAATGTTTGACAGCGGAACATAATGAACGGACTTTATACTTATTAAAGAAATAGTTGATCAGTTTTACGAAGATCAGACTGTTCACCAGCAACGGCGATGTGTTCTCCATGATGATGCTCAGATCTGTTATGCCGGTTATCAGACCCCAGCCCTGCGGACAAAATTCGAAACAAGCGGTTAATTTCGATTCTAACGTTCCGTCGTACGTATCCGCATCGTAAACACCTCCAAAAGTGTCAAACTGCCAGTGAAGAATAACGTGATACCGAGCATCACGTTACCTTCCAGACGCGATTGATACGGCCATTGACCGACGATGGACAGGAATAGTTTGTTGAGATAATAGTAGCGATTGTCGTAGAAAGACATTTTCTACCGGACTTTCAAAGAAATACTGCGAAACAAACGGATATCTCGTCCAATATTCACACCTAATCGGAGTCTATTACATATTCCCTTAGGAACAGTATCGAAAGGAGAACAATTTGTAGTAGCGCGACACGACGGTGAAGTGCGCGAATTGTAAATTGTACTATTCCGCCAATACGATGTATTACATATTCATACGTAATGGACTATATTTGTTTCAACGTGCAGCTCTCTGTAATCAGTAAAGCACAGCTGCAATCAACTTTGTACACTCGAAACTTTGTTTCACGAGTCAAACAAAGTTTCAAATGTACAGAAAAGGAGACGTTTGCGAGATCGGAGACAAATAATTTTGGGAGAGAGGTAAAGCGGACATTATTATAAATACCAATTATTATATTTACATCACGTCCGATAAAGTACACAAGCATCGTGTTCACATCTTTATGCCGTCCTCCTATGCCGTCTCTGATATCTGTTCTACGTGCGATTTTCGCTTGTGTCGCTTGTATGTGGGCACAGTTAGTATTCTTTCACGCGTGGGGGCTGTGCGCTCGAGCTTACGTCGTTCTTTTTTACTATGTTTCTTCATAGCTAACATATAGTCCGGCACATGACATCCAGACGCACGCATAACTGTCGCGATACTAGACAAAGAAATACATTCCATATTATTGCTACTTTATTCGCGAATATAATTGTAAATTATGTGTGTGCCAATAAACTAATAGATGTTTTTTTGTAAAAAGACTTTTGTAAAAAAAATTGTTAAGATAAAAATAGTAGCACTTTAAAACAGGAACACATTTATCGACTGTGATAATTTCGCCTGTGTACAAAGAGAAGTAAAACAACACGCACCTCCTTAAATTCGCCGTATCTTGTTGGGTAAAAAATGTTATTGCTTTTCCTTTGTGACCAGCACGACCGGTGCGACCTGTTTTGATATAAATAAATATCTAAGTGATAAAAAGAAGAGACTTGAAGAGTTTATCTTCAAAAAACAGAGCAGTTTCGTTTTAAAGTTACTTATTCACATTCAGCGCATACCTATCCTGTGGATATAAGAAATGGCGGACGGTGGGAAGTCATAATTCACAACAAGATTTACTCCTTTAAAGTCTATGCCTCTACCCATGAGCTCTGTGCAAATTAACACCCAAATTTTACCTTCTCTAAAGCAACGCACGATATTATCTCGCTGAAAAAAAATATGATTATGAATCAACATTTATATAATTTCAACTAGATAATTCTCTGAAAGAACTTCTTAGCATACTTGTGTTAATGTTCTATCGGCGTGAATAACATCCACATTAATTCCATCGTAAATGAGTTCATTGAAGAGTTCTTGAGCTCGCTCTTTGCTCTGCACAAACACCAAGACAGGTGGTGCTAGACCCTGTGATAATAATTATTTTAAAGCGTCATGTGTGTAAAGCATTGTAACTGAACTTAATTAATCTGAAACATACTTTCTGAGTAATATTTCTAAATGCTACCAACTTGCCCCTTTCACTACCAACGAATACAAGTTCTTGTTCCACCAAATCTGTAGCCGCATTCCTATGAAATATATCCAGGAGAAATATACTTGTTAATACATTCACATATTTCTTTCATAAAATCTGCTAATGACATGCACCTTTGTCCAACCGTTATTGTTATTAGCCCTTTCATATTACGACGACACCATCTCGATACTGTGGGTGTATTTGTTGCACTAAACATACCACGATGTAGATTCTCATTGGTACAAGCTCTTGTAATCTCATCTAATTGCTCTTTAAATCCGCGTATGCCATCTTCAAAGAGTTTATCAGCTTCATCCACAATCAACCATTCTACACTGTAAATGTCGAAAAAGAATTCTTGAATCTAAACTTATAGTTGCTCAATCATGTATAATAAATTGTAAAAAACTTACTTATTCAATGAAATAGCTGGAGGATCCTGATTCAGAAGAAAAACCAGTCGTTTTGGTGTAGTTACCAAAATATCTGAAATACAAGCAAATTTTAGAGAAAAGCTATTTTTACTGAAACATTTATCATTACATACCATATTTTTGTGAACTTGATGGTCCATATTTGGTAAGAGCTTGATTAGTTTTGTTAATTATGTGAATCCTAAAGTCACAACCATCACTCAATCTCAGGCACTCTCTATATGTTTGCTTGGCCAATTCTCTTGTTGGACTTAAAATGACAGCACGGAAACCTTTCTTCTGTGGCCCACGTAGGCTGTAAATTATGGGTAGCAGAAATGCTGCAGTCTTTCCTGATCCTGTTGGAGCACAAGCCAGTATTTGTCTACCCTGTTAATTATAAATTGAGAACAAAATTAGACATCTGCAACTTCAATTAAAACTTATTAAAACAAATCCTTTACCTCTAACAAAACTGGCATTGCTTGCATTTGTATTGGTGTTGGATAATTATAGTTACATGTTTTCAGATTATTTATCAAATTTTCTGGTACTCGATAGTTTGTTTTCAATTCCTCAAAATCTGTTATTAATTTAGGCACATGACTACCTGTGACTGAAATACGATTCAGATTCCTCAGATGATTTATCTAAAAAGAAATGAAAAATATTTTATGTACTTTGTGAGAGTTCATTCTCACAGATATAATTGGGTAAAATTCAAACCTTTTCCTGTTCTAACTTGAGCATTTTATCAGCAGTTGCAATCTTTTTACGTTTTTTAAAAGCTGAAACATTTCCATCTTTCGGTATTGACAGTCCATTCAGCAGAGTTAACTCATCAATGTCTTCATCCTCATCTTCCAAATGTTTTCTTTTCGCATTACTTTCTTCATTGAGCTTTAATACTTGCTCTTGTGTATGTGTCTTTGTTTCCTTTATAGATGTATTACTCGCGGTAGATTTTACCATCTGCAAGAGAAAAGAATACTGAGAAACAATGAAAATATATAAAATTTACATCCAAAAGTAGACGGAGTGAACAGTAATTACTTGAAATCTTTCCGCGTCATGTCGAAAACGCTTCTTGTCAAATTTCACACCAGCTGCAAGTTTTTTGAAAAGATCATGAGCGTCCATGGTATAAGAATCGCAGACGTTTAAAATGCAATAATAATCCGGGGAAAGATTATTTCAGATTAAGATAACCTCAAAAGAAAGAGAGCAGAAGAGCGTGCGACTCGATGCGACTGCGCGCGTAACAGTCTCGTCCGCCATTTTACGAGGTAGCGATCGTCGATGATCGATAATCGATTTCACGGAGAATCGATATGTCGCTCGCAGCGCTGCCGTCGTACCTCGTGGCGCTGCCATCGCGCCTCGCGGCGCTGCGGTCGCGTTGTCGCGCGCGCGCGCTCAGTGCAGTCGAGTCCGCCGTCTAGTCGATCGTGTAACTTCTGTGTCGCTCGTCACCCAGAAGGCTCTATCTACCCTCCGCGAAATCGCCATTTTATGTGTTTGGCACTGTCACAGTACGGTGGTTGCGTGCGTGCGTGCGTGCGTACGTGCGTGCGGTGCGGTGCAGTGCGGTTCGTCGCGTCGCGTTCAAACTTGTCTCGACAAGTTTAGAGGAGAGAGAGAAAGAGAGAGAGTAAGAGAGCGAGAGCGCGCGTCCCATTCGGCCGGTGGCTGCTCGCTTTCGGGTTTCAGCTCTCAGCATGTCGCCCGAACACCCCGGTCCGGACGCGTACAAGTAACGGCGGCAGCGGCGGCTCGTACGACGGGGTGTCGGTCGTGGTGCGAGAGGGCCACACGACGGCGGCCTATCGAAATGGTGTAGTGTGCGCAAGCGAGGCGAGTCTCTGTGAGTGTGAAAGAAAGAGTGTGTTTTCGTTGTCGTCGCCATCGTCGCCGCCATCGCCGTCGTCGTCGCCGTCGTCGTCGTCGTCGTCGTCGTCGTCGCCGACGTCGCCGTCACCGTCACCGCCGTCGTCGTCGTCGTCGTCGTCGCCGTCGCCGCCGTCGTCGTCGTCGTCGTCGTCGTCGTCACCGTCGTCGTCGTCGGGAGTAAAGTGCACCTGATCACACGGCAAGTACATCTCCCGCCCTTCTCGCCCATTCGTGTGTCGTCGCTCTGTCGTCCTCGTCTCGACAAGTGTACCACCGTCGTCGTCGTCGTCGTCGTCGTCGTCGTCGGCGGAGGACGTCGAGACGCCCGACGTCGTCGTCGTCGGGATCACGGGAGACCATCGTCTCTGGATTACTCGTCACGACGCGACGTCTCCCGGCTGCCAGTTACGATGAATCCACGCATACCCTCGGACAAGGTGAGTCTCTCTTTTTATTTTATTTATAATGTGTCCACCTATGATGCGTCTACCTCTCTCTTTCTCGCGCGTGCTCTCTCTCTCTCTCTCTCTCTCTCTCTCTCTTTCGCACGCACACTCTCTCGCTCGCGCTCTTGTCATCGGCTCGTCTAACATGTCTACCGCACCCTCTGGCGCTCTCCTCCTTTTTACCTCCCGCGTCCTGCGTCGTCCTCTCGGTGAACGCAGTGGAAAATTCTCTTTCTTTCTTTCCTCGTCGCCTCGTTTTGCTTTTCATTTCTCTCTCACAACATCCTCTCTGTCTTTCTCTCCTTCTTCTCCTTTGTACTTTTACATTTCCTTCGTATCCGCCTCCTTCTCGTTCTTATTCTCCTGCTCCGTTCGCGTCTCGCGAGCTTTTGCGCCGCGACATCGTTGTGAAAATTGCGAGATGTATCGTGCGCTCGGACGTGAATCTCTTGGTCTGTGAATTCGCGCGAAGTGAAACTTTTCGTCGAGCATGTTTCGAAACAGAAAATATCCCCCTCTCTTGCGCCGCGACCTCTCTCTCGCGATGCTACTCGTTCGATGTGTTCAAAGTAGAACGGCCAATGTTATTCTGTGGCTTGGGAATGAGAGGAAGAAAGAAAGAGAGAGAGAGAAAAATAGAACGGGGGAGGAGGAGGAGGAGGAGGAACAGGGGACAAAGTCCGAAAATAATTTGTACTTCATTTCCTGTCGCCAAAGCGCATCAGCGGTGGTGTCCTAACTCGAGGACACCGTAGCGAGGTCGTTTCCCTCGTCTATTTATTGTTTGTTGTGCGCGCGAAATGTTTTGACAGCTGATAACGCCGTCGACGCGTTATTGAAGACGCGCGCGGCTGAATACCCCCAGCCCTTCCTCTTCACCGTTGAAGACCGCGATTTCAACGAGATTTTCCGTACTCCGTTCTCTCGTTCGCGCGTTGACATTGATCCCCATTAGTCGAATAAAACTCTGAATCGAGCGGCTCCATTTAGCGCTTAAACGCGACGCTAAACGCAGAGCGCGAGCGGACCTTGGTGTCTTTAGCATGCGCTCCGTTTCGTAACGAAACACGGCCTACGCTCCGTGCTGCAGCAGCTGTCATTACATCTCCCTCCATCCTCCCCTGCTGTTGCCGCCCTTCCACACGCCACACTATGCGCTACGCTGTCGTCGTTTCTCCATAGTGTATTCGCGCGTATCATCCTGTACGCATACACTCCCACACGTATATCCACAGCGCTGAACGCGTGTGATTAAACGAGATTCCGAATCCTTATTTTTTTCCCAGCATACAACTCGTGCTCATTGTTATCGTGCCTCGCGATATTACACGCTCGTATTTAGCGCTGCCGGCGAACGCAAGACGCGAATATGTACATCTTCTTCGTTATTGTCCCGCGCTGACGTATCACATTCGCCGCTGCGAACGCGAATGAATAAGCGCGATTTGGAATTTTGATCCGCCAACCAGTGGAATGCATTCGCGTTCGTTGGTAACTGTAATTAAAGAGCGCATTCTCTCTCTCTCTCTCTCTCGCGACGATAAACCGAAATTTCGTGCAAAATGAAAATATTATTGTGTATACACTAGTCGCGCGCGGCTGGCCCTCGCTCGTGTATACAAAACGAACTCTCACTTGCAAAATCATTTGAAACACATGTCGTTTGAAAAAGAGAAACATCATTGATTATTTCCACCGTATGCAGTCTCTCGTTTCAATACTAGCAAATTCAAATCAACTTGCGAGTGGAATTTGACCTCGGGGCAATAAAAAAAAAGGATGATTCCATTAAACGAGTTCGCGGTATTCTTGGCAAAAAAAGATCGACGAAGAAACGGCATGTATATATCTCAGTGTGAGATATGCGTTGAGACGTGATCGAAAAATCCCGATTAGTGCGGGAGTATGTTATTATTAAATTATGGGAGAGATGACACGTTACTCTTAGATTGATACGAATTCAATCACTCACACTTCGAAATCACAAGTCGAAATTTTAACATATTTTCGACCTCTGCTTTCCAACATCTATATATTCTGAAGGATCAATATATACTGAGAAAAAAATGTTTGGTTTTTGTAACTATATATATAATCACATAGAGAAAAATAACTATTATAAATTATAGTCAAGAGAAAGCTAATTTTTTTATTAAACTCTACTCTACTGTTAGTAATGATAATGTATATTACTATTACAATTTCACCACAAAAAATATTGGAGCCAAAAATAACTATAGTTTTAATTAGATCAACCATTTTTCTCTCAGTGCACGTTCGATACATATGGAAACTAAAGCCATATATAGCGTCTGTAAATGGCAGAAAACGTATAAAATACCACTTTAAATTCTAAGGAAGACTTGTTTAAAACTAATAAGTTAAATAGAATGGAAAAAGGTTGATATACACGGAGAAAATATTGTAGTAAAAATTACAATACAATTTTAGTAGTCCGGCAATAGACTGGTTTTATTACAAAAATTATAATAAAACATAATAAAAATGACCATAATAACATGATAATTTTACTGCATTATGGTAATTTTTACTGTTTTTACTATATTCATGGTCTCCGTGTAGGTTTCAGAATATCAAAATAAGTGTTGAATGGAATATTAAGGTCGAAGGTAGGATAAAAACTTCGTACTCGGACACTGGACATGTTCAAAGTAGCGAATCAAAATGCAGCGCGGAATTGAGGTAAAGTCACAAAGAGATTGTGAAATTTTACGAAATCACAGTTTGATCGTGGTCGTCTTTCTAATCTCTCGCGCAGTTCCTTTCCTTCTTTCTTTCCTTCTTGTCACGGGATCGCGCGAAGCGAAGCGACGACGCGGCGGCCGCGCGGCGTCAAAAGGAAAGTCAGCCGCCGGATTTCACTCCATTATCATACTTTCAGAAATTAATATTTCCACCTCGCGCCGACGGCCCGGCTGATTACGGGAACTGCAGATCCGCTGCAGATAACGACGCTGGCCTCGCGCATCAACGTTTCTCTCATCGCGCTCACGTGCTCGGTCGACGACACCTCGGTGTAATATTCGGGAATTATAGAGGCTTTACTTCTTCGCGCTTAAATATCTGGACGTAATTAAAGCATCAAGATGAATCTTTCATAAGATTTTAAAGTCCACCTCGGAAAGCCGCAATGACGGTTGCGCGTTACGCATTCGCGTCTTCGTATGCTCGCGAATCTGAACGTCTAATTAATGTTTTGTCGAAACCGACGCATCCAGTCGTGTATTTATTTCGCGCGCGTAACCGCCTCAGAAATTCTCCGCATCATGATCATTCTAACGAGAATCATTAGCCGTTCCTTGTTTTTTCCAAACTTACACGAGACGTTTGCACCTAAAAAAAGAACTCTAGTTGCAGGATGTTCTCTGATTTTTGTAATCTCACATTCTAAATGAAGATTTTTACAGAAAGAGTATTTCTCTTCTAATAAAATAGACTATAAATTGGATATCTACTAGATATTACTTCCACTTTTTTTCGTTTTAAATGGATTTAATTTTTTCGTTTCAAGAGGAATGTTTTTACTTGGCTGATTTTTACTTACAAAAAAGGTACATTTCGATTTCTTTCTAATTTGGCACAAATGTAGAAGTACAAAAAATATTTGGGTCATATTTTTTCATTTTGGCCTATCTTGAGCTTCACGGGCAGTTTATGGCTTTTTAATGTTCTCACTCCTATTATCAACAAGTGCAACAAAAATGCATAAGAAATAAAATTGAATATAAGATATAGTTAAATAATTTTAACAAAATCATTATAGCTGAGACACGAATCATTCTAAATTTCTTTAGCCGAGATTCCAACCGAAATATTTGAAATCTGTGCTAAATTAGACAAAAATGATTTGGATCTCGACCAAACCGAGAAAGAGAGAAATCCTGCAATTTTAATTAAAATTTTAATAAAATGATCATAGCTGAGATATGAACCATTCTAAATTTCTTTAGCCGAGATTCCAACCGAAATATTTTAAATCTGTGCTAAATTAGACAAAAATGATTCGAATCTCGGCCAAACTTTGGAGAAATTATTTGTATAAATAATTTTTTTTTCAACTTTTTACAAGTTTTATTTAAACATTTAATATTTTTTTATTTTATTTAATTACACAAATAATTTTACACATTTGACCTTATATTCATAATCAGCAAAACAAAAATGCTTATATCTTGTATTCAATTTCATTTCTTATGCATTTTTGTTGCATTTGATGATAGGAGGGAGAACATTAAAAAGCTATAAACTACCCGAGAAATTCAAAGTGGGCTAAAATGAAAAAATATGACCTAAATATTTTATTACTTCTATATTTGTGCCAAATTAAAAAGAAATCGAAGTGTGTAACCTTTGGGTAGGTTTACTTGTTAGAACTTTTGTCTGAGGCCAGGAATAAAATCTTCCAAGCTCCAGAAAATTGTGTTAAGAATAAGATTACATTTTTGTAGATTACTCGTTTGTTATATTTCTTAAGCAATACTTAAAACATACACATGTGTGACGCGTGAGAGATAAAATCCGATAGCGAACACATGAAAGGAAAGACAAATCTAACTGTCGACTGTGTCGAACTCTCACGTCACCTTTGAGACCGGGTCCTTCGTGTATCAGGGTCTCGGTCCTAATATCTTGTAAAAGGTACAGCACGTTCGCGATCCACGTCTTGCGTTACGATGCGGAATTTACGGCGACACAAGTGCTTGCTCATAATTTGCGCGCGCGCTTTGTTCTGCTCTGCTCTGCGGTGAGCGCCAATGAGCCGAGACAATAATAACGGGATTTATTAGTCATGAGCTATATCATGTATTAATAGTCATCGTGCTTCATGCTTTTCCGGCGCGTAAATTAAGCGAGCGACTTTTCCCGCGAATCCCGTTTCTTCTCGAGCGTTCCATAGCCGTTTCGTCTAGCCGTACCCCCGGTTATACTGTTGTTGTTGCATCGCGCGCATCAACGCACCCAATTGCATGCACCACATGCAACGGAGAGGGGCGTAGCGTGTGGCAGGGATGTTGCCCGTTTAACCTTTAAACGCAGCCGTTCCGAAAGCGCTCGATTAAGAAGAATCTTATCTCCTCGTTTCTTTATTTCTTGAAATACATATATAGATAGAAAAATATTGTGTTTACTAAATCCCGGATTTGTTTCAGATATAATAAAACGATTACATATGTCGTAAAATATGGCACCATATTTTTTGTGTCTTTATGATTTTATAAAACAATATGTAGAATAAGAGGACATTATTGTTTAGAAAATATCTTTCTTTTTGTCAGTCTTCGGAGGAGATTATATAGACTACATTTGATATTTCTGTGCTCTTTATTAATAAACATTATTTTTGAATAATAAGAATTTCTAATAGTAAGATTTGAAGAGGCAAATAAGGAACAAGTACGGATGTCTTAGTGCTATTAAATATTAATATTACTTTTATATAATATTAATATGATAGTGGGAGGATAATTATGTCCAGCATGTCAAACGCACGTATCGAAATTTTCCTTCGATTAACGTACACGGCGAATCTACCTTTCATACTTAGACCGATCCTTGAGTCCCAATTTTATATATATATATATATTTAAAATTCCCAAAACCCATTAAACCGATGACTCAAATAGATTCATTATATATGCTGCTTATTTGCCTCTTCAAATCTTACTGTTAGTTATTCTAAAAAGGAGTTTTTCTATAATTTCAATAAGAATTTCCTTCATCTTGAAAAAAATCATGTAAGATATATTCTTTCAAGTGACTTATCTTCGTTTAACGCTGCGTAATCTCATTTGAAGATTAACACGTCACAAATAAAGATCTATTTTAAATAAGAATTTTCTTTTTCCTTTTTGTATATATACGAGGGACATCATAGATGGCGAGTTTGTTGCATAAAATTATCACGACACAATCATTTTATCCAAAAATCCAATATTACTTATTACCCAACTCAATGTAAATAAAAAGTTCGGTACTTTATCGTGAGATTTATCGGTTAATTTATTACCCGGCGAGACGGATGAACGTCTATGTTTATCGCTATATAATCGCTATGTAAACTTTGTATCACGTAGTACGTAAATTTGCAGTCGAGTCTCGGAAACTGACAAGATCCTCGGTTTAGGAATTAACTCGGTGTCCGCCGAGCCGAACATTTTCACGATGAAATTTTCATTCGCGGTTGTTACCGCGCGTCGTCATCTCAACTCGACGCGTAACTTTATATCCGCTCCTTTTGTAGAACCGTAGAAAAATATTACGATCAAGCGGGACTGGATTTTACGTTACGCGCTCTCACGACTTCTTTCTCCCGTTCTTGAAAATGGACAGAATAATAAAGTGAGACGGGTCGCGGAGCCGAGTTTGTATGCGCGCCCTTCACCGGGTCCTGCATCTTGCGGAGAGATGCACGGCTTCTTCAGCCAGCATTTTCCCGCTCGCGTAGTACTGTGCGTTATTACCTTCGCGGGAGAGGAGTTTGCGCGATGATGGCGCATTATTTCCCTCACGAGGACACTTAACATCGCGAATTAAAGGGTACGGGCGAATTAAGTCTCGAGGTAAATGTAAATGAATAACGAGACCTGTTTGCGCGCTTTCTTACGCCGTCTCCTATATTCCGAGTGAAACGCCGCATACACGCGTGTACATTTCGTTATAATAATATTAATACACCGGCTACACACGAGAAAAATAATATGGCTTTCCTTTTGCTATGTTTCTCCAGTAGTGCTGTGAAAAATACTGTCAGCAAAATCTGTCTTGCTAAGGAACGTGGTAAATTTCGCTGCACTGAGAGAAAAAATGTCTAACGAATAAGAAATATTTATTCGACGGATACTAATAACACATTATTTACTTGCACCAATTTTCATATTTCTTTCACAATTTCTTTCACAAACGTGAAAATAGATTTCCTAAAGTTTTCCTAAAGCTGCGCTGCTTTTCAATTTTTTATTCTATCTAAACAAGAGAATTTAGATTTAAGTGAATGTGTTACTGGTAACCTCACCGAATAAATCTTTTACATTTTTCATATATTTTATTTCTCAGTGTAGAAACATTGTAAATTTCGCTGCAAACATAACAGATTTTTTAACAGCACATTTCAGTCTCTAAAATATAAGTAGCACATATGAAATGAGAGAATAGAGCCATTTACCGCAGAATGTCGATTTTTTCCTCGGTTGCAAAATTCTACAATAGAAATTTTCACTGTAAAATTCTCTATGTATATGAAATTGAGGACGAGGAGAGGGCAGAGGTCGAGAAAAACGTAGGTGAGAGGGCAGAACGTCTCGCAATTTTCTCGATTTATATTCAAACTGAAAAATCGACACTGCGCCTCGGATTGGACGAACCGCATGGAAACGTTAAGAGCAAATAGAATCCATCGCGAGCGCGCGCGCGCCTTTTATCCGGAAGGAAAAACGCGCGCGCGTGAGTCACGTCCGGCTAGAGATCTCCGGACGAATTTTATTATTCAAGGCGAACGCGTGCGCGACGTGTGTATCGCCTTTTGTTCGTGCCAAGGCTCGATATCTGCACGGTCATACCGAGAGGAAGGAGGATGGATATCGGGTATCTCTCCACGTTTCCGCGTGGTGACTCGCGCTCGGAAGATTTTAGCCTGTACTCTCGTCTTATTCCTGCGCGCTGCGACCTAACGGCGCGGCAGCGTATACGACTCGTAATTACGATTTATACTCTATTTCCCAAGTATCCTAGATATCGTTCTGGCGAAACTAAGAGAACCAGAGAAAACACGTCGAAAGAACGCCAACTACTTTTCGGTTCCGTGCTTCTAATGGCGTTCCTTGAAATCTTTCCGTGTCTGCGCTTATTCACATCGATCCAACCAAAATGATCATCGACGAGCGTGTTTGTCGTTTCGAGGGAAAAATTAAAAGCGAGTCAATACGTGAAGAGGAAAGCGACGAGCCCTTTATCCTAATTAGTTGTCTGTTTTGTAAGTGATATTGTCAGATTCTAATGAGTCAACTGTAACGCAGCGTGGCAATCAGAAAAAAAATATGTAAACGATAAAAAATATTTATTCGGTGAGGACTGATGACATATTTACTAAAATCTAAATACTTTTATTTAAATAGAATAAACAATTCATGAGAAGCTACAGTTTCAAGATACTATATTTTCTCATTTGAAACAAATGTTTTCTCAATAAAAAATATGCATATGAATACAATATGCAGTTAATATGTTGAAAGTTTAAATATTTAAAGACCAGAGCAATAAAAATGTCCAGGATTAATG